TGTTACAAATCTTTTCTACTGCCATTGTAAAATAAACGAAGCAGGTTGGATTAAGCATAAAATAAAATAATAAATAAGTTAAATTCCTAAAATTGAATTTTTAAAAATAAAACCATTGTTTTATCTTTTTCGTTGAAACGCTTTGATAAAAGGCATCAAGTGCAGCTCCTTGATAAAAGATAACAATTGCGAAGCTTTGGTAAAAACCACGCTTTATCAACTTTAGTGAGTAAGCAAAGGTTTAGTACTGATGTTGGTTAACTAGCGAGAGCTAACGATTAGTAATGTAATTTGTTTGCGAAAGTTTAGGGCTAATGTTGGTTAACTACAACAGCTAGTGAATAATTGCTGTTGACTGGTAATATTATTGTAAAAGCAAGGCTGTTAAACGAGCTGCTTAAATTGTTTGTAAATAAACCAAAGCAAGTTTACAATCGGCCAAATAAATAAAAACAAGCGTAAATGACTGAAATAAATCAGTCACAAGTAGATAAAGGGACTTTATAGAAACCTTTGAGCTCTGTAAAAAAGCCATGTTGGTTTCCTTACACTTGTCTGGTACCATTAAACGTGCTTAAAGATTAACCAAAGCTTTCTAGGCACAAGGAAGAAGCAGGAGGCAATAACTAAAGTAAATTGGTAACTTATTAATTGACAAGCACCAAATTATAATCTATAGTTTGCGATTAGCTGATAAGAGTAACCCAAAAGTTAATCCATTGTCAACACACTTGTTAAATAATTGATGTTAACCAAAAGACTACCTTGTAAGATGTAATTATTATGTACAATTAATCCATTTGTATTTGGGTATCTGGTAGGAACTGTACATAACTTTAATAATATAGATGGTGTAGGTGATGTGCATTTCGTTAAAAAGAACTCTCGTGTCCATTTTATTGGAATATAAAAGTACAATTGTAAGCTTTATATTTAATATAAGTAACAGAAATGATATTAATACTTTGTCATTAATAATATATAATTTTATGCAGGTGTTCTTTATTACTTGTTTTGGTGGCAGTTATGATATTTGGTTTAAAAATGATATAATTCGCAATGATCCAAAGGCTCACAATGACATCAATACAGTAAATGACAATGATTTAAAAGAAAACATTACAATTAATTAACTTGACAAGGTTAAAAAAGAAAGTAATATGTATTTCATTTGATAATACAGAAAGCATGTAATGTGTATGAATTTTATTTCCATACATGTATGAAAATCCAGATCATACATACATATTAATATTAATACAGTAATACAAATAATAGAAAACAAGAAAATTATTTTAACTCGGACTTAATGATGAAAGGAGAATTACATGGTCAAGTTTTGAATAATTTGCTGCATGTAATCTAATTTCCCACCCACTACAAGAAATCGACTTATTATTATTTGAATTATGTTATTATTAATACAATCTTTAATAAAATTATAAATAATAGAAAACAAGAAAATTATTTTAACTCTGCAAATTATTTCTCAGGGCTTAATGATGACAGGAGAAATTACATGGTCAAGTTTTGAATAATTTACTGTCTGTGGTCTAAATTTCCCACCCAATACAAGAAATCAACTTATTATTTGAACTACACTATTATTAATACAATCCCTAATAAAATTATAAATAATAAAAAACAATTTTATTTAGAAACAATAAAGAAAATTACTTCAACTCTCCTGCAAGTTATTTTCCAGGGCTTGATGATGGTGGGAGAAATTATGTGATCAAATTTTGAGTAGTTCTTAAAGTTTAATACAAGAATTACACAAAGAATTTAGATTTTTACTTCAAAATCCAGCAGTGCCCAAAAGTAAAGTTTGTTTTTTTATTAAATAAAAAATAATTTTTTTAAATAAAGACAATTTTATGATTTTAATGTTCCTAAAAGTCACACTATTTTATTGTATGTGAATATTTTGGTCATCTTGGAAGTATTTCGATTCATCAGTTTTTACACAATTTTGCCCTGGATTGACAGAGATTTTTATCTACTTCTTTCATGCATCACAAATTAAGTTATATATTATTTATTATGTTCTGGATTTTAGAATGATAGCTGGAGAATAAATTACATATGGATATTTCAACTATGATAAAAGATAAAGGAGACGGTGGATTGGAAAAGAGGTTTCTGAAAATATCGGTATAGCAAGTAGAACAAATAAGTACTAAAAGATGGTCTTCACCAAATGTTAAAAATATAAAAAAGTTGACGGATTTAAATTCTCAGTACACAAATTTATTTCCAACATACTTTGTAACAAGTTTACGAATGAGAACGCAAAAGTGAGCCTTTTACATATCATGTGATATATATATATTTATACAAACTTGTATTGTATTGCATGAAATTATTACTACTAGAGGTATTCCTTTCAGGCCATAGAACTCAACCTTCTATATTCAGCTACGACGTCTTTATCTATTCCTATCTTCTAGCGACTAAAATCAAACGAAAAGAGATCCAAGGAATTCCGAGAAGGAGTCCTGTTCATTGTTTTTAAATACCTTGAAGTTTGTTTTGATAAATTATCATTGTCTATTCTACTGTAAGAGATGCCTGTATAGACCTTTTCTCTACTTGCATTCTTGATGTAATTTTGTAAAAAAGAATTTTTTGAACGCGAATCAAAAAAAAATTTTTGTATTATTTTGTTTAAGAGTGTGAACCAAATGAAAGATTGGCTATATATGTGTTTGCTGTTAAATGGGCAATCCAAACAAAAATCATTGTCAAAAAAGTCAACCAAGTCTTTTTAAAACACAAAAAAAAAAAAAAACCATTATTATGATTATTCTTGTTACAAATCTTTTCTACTGCCATTGTAAAATAAACGAAGCAGGTTGGATTAAGCATAAAATAAAATAATAAATAATAATAAATAATAAATTGTAGTAATGATAAACAGGTCATCCATTACCTTTACCTCTTCACTCTCTTCCTGTTAACAACAAACTACGATTTTTTAATAAAACCAAACATGTGAAGGACTAAAAAAAATTAAGAACCTTTACCTAAAGAAATAAAAACGGTCTGCAAAGTAGAGCAAAAGCAAAAGGTAACGTCAGCAAGAGAGTGAGTGAGACCTTTAGAAATTGAATATTTCCTGTACGACCCAAAATTTGTGTGATGGCACTTTTGGTTTTTATCTCGATGTACCGGATTTTTGGAATTGATGGTATCATCTTTAAGAATAATGATCAAAACAAGAGAAAACATCTTGATCCAAAAATAGGCTTGGATTACAACCTGTCAGTCATGATAATAATTTTGTTGTAACATTAACAAATTTAGGAATACGCTTGTCAAACATTCAAAAAGTGCATCTTCAGATTCAAATACAAAGCGATATTACCGAAGAGAAACAATTACTATTTCCAAAAACTTTGGGCAATTATTCCATCAGAACATTGATATTTCGCTGAGAGAAGCTAACTGAATTTTTTCACAAGTGCATAAAGCAATTTGTCAATTTGCAATTTTTACAGGAAATGAAAAATATTTGTGAATGATCTTAATAAATAAAGTAACAACACTGCATTGGGAAAATATGGTGATTTTTCATTATAAGCACCATCTGATGCAGAATATTGCATTAATCAAACTTGCGGTCGCCAATTAATATAGTGCGGATCAAAAGTTAAAAAATTTGAAATGTTATGTGATCCATATGTTGGATTTTTAAAAATCACCACCTTTCAATTCAGCTTTAAAAAGGGAGTAAATTCACATCAAAAAAAAAATTGAGTTTATTTTTTTTTTCATGGATTTTTTTAAATTTGAGAGTTATGCTCAGAACTTGCAATAATAAATAATTTTCGCGTTACAATATTTTTAATTATATGACCAGATTTGGGAATGATTTTCTTTTGATGTAATATATATGTTTTTTATTGTATATAAAAAAAGGAAATAAACAATACAAATAAATCAATATACACATCTAAACTCGATAAGTCAGACATTTATTTATATTATAAAGTACTTTAAACGATTGATTGCTGCTGCGTCCGACTTATCGAGTTTAGATGTGTGTATGTCATAAAAAAAATATTCTGAAAAACAATTTAAATGCTAAGGCCCTGCCAATTTTAGTTAAGAAAAAACTAGCCGATAAGTTTTGAAGCTTGTCATGAACAATAAAACTTATGGTTAACTTTTTTAAAATTTTTTTTTAGTATTTTTTTTGAAGCTGACCAATTAATTGATTATAGATGATCTGCATTTCAAAACCCGATTTGGAAAATAAATTTATTATTATTATTATTATTATATACTTATGTAATACGCGTATGAAAAAAAATAAATTAAATTGGTAAATCACAGTAATATTTGGTAATATTTGTATTAACAAAACAATCTCAAAAAATAATAACAACATTAAAAAGTGAAGACTCTAATTTAAAAAAAAAGCGAAACAGTAGCTGATCCAATTGTTATTCAAGGTACATTTGAATTACAACAAGTTAGAACACGACAACCACGAAACGCAAAAATGGAGGCTGAAAAAAGGCTTAAGCCAAGTATTAAAAATCTCTACAAAAAAATATTATCTTGGAATTTAAATTCTTCTGGCGATTTTCCTCCTAATATGGATAAAAGAAAATTCAAGAACATACCTGATACATTTAAATCTACTAAAGAATACTTGGATATATTTCAACCATTATTGATATTGGAATGTTGGCAGAGTTTCCTCAATGCAAAAGATGAAATGGATGAAAATGATTCATTTATTTTTGTTGTTGATAGTATCATGATGATATATGAATTCATAGAGATTTATGTAACTGTTCCAGAATCATCAACATCTAATGAATTGACATGGGGCGAAAATGATCTTTTATTAATGAGACAGTTAACATTATCAGATGAACAGGATAAATTGGAAAATAAAAACAAAGAATTCTTAACAATAATCAAAAATATAAATGGTGATAAAGTTACATTGTTAGCCTATTTAGCTAATGATCCCAAGGAAATTCAACGTGAGTTAATATCATTAAGTAAATGGAAAGTCATAAAAGTATCAAGGTAAATTTTAATATTATGAAATTAGTCAGCCTTTGGGTTACATACATTCATAACTATATATACGCATGTATAAATATTTGTAATAGTTTAACACCTGCTGTACGTGAATATTCTGCTTTAATTGGATTGCCATATTATCATTGGCGTGATTTTATTTTGAATCCAAAAAAAATAGCATCAACACTTAAAGTGCCAGCTGATAATATAAATAAATATATGGAAAATTACCATATTAATATATCACAAGCTGAGGCAGTCTGGAAGGTTGTAAGTCGGGAAGAGGGGATTACACTTATTCAAGGACCACCAGGAACAGGAAAGACCTCTACAATTGTTAGTATAGTTAGTGAATTAAGAAAATTTTCTACAAAGTTCAAATCTCGTGTTCTGGTTTGTGCTCCAAGCAATTCAGCAGTAGATGAATTGGAAAAACGATTTAAGCAGGGAGTATATAATAAACAAACTAAAGTTCTTAGATTTGGAAGAAATGAAAGTTTTGAAAGGAGCGCGGACTCAGAATTAAGGTCGAGATTAAAGAAACTGGAAAATGAAATATTCCAAACAGAACAAAAAATTAATGAACCAATAAATGATGCTTGGCAATTTTCTACCTTGCAAGCAAAATCAAATCGTTTGAAAGCTGAGAAAAAATTCATCATTGATGAGTTGACAAAATTGACTACTACAAACAGTAGGTCAGAAAAATATGATATATATAGAACTTGGGCTAGC